GTTTGAACTGGTTTATAGTGGGGGGCCCAGAGCAGCGCCCGGTTCTGGGCCAGGCTCTCCACGAACGACCGGCCCTGCCACCAAAACAAACTGGGTTATACTGGGAGGGACTGGGAGGGCACTGGGAGGGACTGGGAGAGAGTTTTGGGGCACTGGGAGCCGATTCCGAGAGGTTTCGGAGCAGTAAAATGGGGTTTTGGGGCACTGGTTTGGACTGGTTTGGACTGGGAGGGAGTTTTGGGGCACTGGGAGGGAGTTTTGAGGCACTGGTTTGAACTGGTTTATACTGGGAGGGCACTGGGAGCCAATTCTGAGAGGTTTCGGAGCAATAAATGGGGTTTGATGGCACTGGGAGGGCACTGGGAGGGCACTGGGAGAGACTGGTTTGGACTGGTTTATACTGGGAGGGCACTGGGAGGGGATTGGGAGGGACTGGTTTATACTGGGAGGGAGTTTTGAGGCACTGGTTTGAACTGGTGGGATTGGAGTGATGAGGAGAAGGGGAGGAGAAACCGGGAGAAAACAGGCAGGAAAAATTGGGAAAAATGGGAAGAAACTGGAATAAAAACGATGGGAAAACTGGGAAAAACGGGAAGAAAAAAAAAAGGGAAAAACGGGAAGAAAAAAACTGGGAAAAACTGGGATGGAAACCGGAAAAATCGGAAGGAAAAGCTGGGAAAAAAGGGAAAAATGAGGGAAAAAAGCTGGGAAAGGCTGGGAAAAGCTGGGAAAAGCTGGGAAAAGTTGGGAATATTCTGGAATTTCCCACCTTGTAGTTGATGGCGAAGGTGGCTGTCTGCATGGCCATGGCCAGCAGGTACACGGTGCTGTTCACCAGAGACGGCTCAAATTCCCGGCTCAGATCCACAAATTCCTCCTCCCTGTCCATGGAAAAATCGGGATCAGCCTCGGGATCCACCCTGGGATCCACCCTGGGATCCATCCCTCAAAAAATCCCCGTTAAAACTGGGTTGAAATTGGGTGTAAAGTGGGTTTGGGAGCTGGAAAAATGGGAATTCCCAGCTCAGATCCACAAATTCCTCCTCCCTGTCCATGGAAAAATCGGGATAAAATGGGATAAATTGATCCCTCAAAAAATCTCAGCTTTAATTGGGGAAAATCCTGGAATTCTTTGAGAATTTTTTTGTAACTTTTTGGGAATTTTTTGGGGAATGTTTTTGGAACTTTTGGGGAATTTTTTGGGAGCTTTTTGGGATTTTTTTGGTAACTTCTTGGTAATTATTTGGGAATTTTTTTGTAACTTTTTGGGAATTTTTTGGTAACTTTTTGGGAATTTTTAGGAATTCTTGGGGAAGTTTTTGGTAACTTTTTGGAATTATTTTGGTAATTTTTGGGGAACTTTTGGGGAAGTTTTTGGGATTTTTTTGGTAACTTTTTGGGAATTTTTTGGGATTTTTTTGGTAACTTTCTGGGACTTTTTTGGGAACTTTTTGGGAATTTTTTGGGAACTTTTTGGGAATTTCTTTGGGAACTTTTTGGGAATTTTTTGATAACTTTTTGGGTATTTTTTTGGGGATCAGAGGCTGACCTGGGCTCGCTCCGCTCCTGCGCTTCCCGGTACAGGAACACCAGGCTGAGGAAATGCACCAGGAATTGCAACAACACCGTCAGCACCGTGTACAGGTTGAAAATGTTGGGAAGAGGCCTCTCCTTGGAAAGAGTCTTCAGGGGCTGGAAGGGTTAAAAAAAAACGGGAATAAAAACCAGGAATGTGGGATGGGATGAGCTGGAGTCCAAATCCCAAAGTTTAGTCCAAATCCTGAAGTTTTTCAGGGAATTCTGTGGGGGTTTTTAAATCTGGGAGGAGGTTTGGGGGTGTTTTATTCCCATGGAAATTGGGATTTAGGGGTTTTTCCCCTCAAAATTCCAGATTTCCATGGAAAAGCCTCAATTTGGGCCTTTTTTTATGGCTCTTTCCTGTCTTTTCCTGCTGTTCATCCCAAAAATTGAGATCCTGAGGGGAAGAATATCCTTGGGAGAACCCCAAATCCAACTGTCCCGCCCCTCCACCTTCAACAAAACAAGCATTTCTTATAATAAATGGGATTTTTTTTGGGGAAAAGCCCCTTTTTCCCTAATTTTGCCAGATCCCATGGAATTCTCGGCTTTCACCTTGGATTTGGAATTTTGGGAGCCATCCCAAACCCTATTTCCACCTTCAGAAAACACCATTTTCTGACCATAAATCCCGTTTTTTTTGGTGAAAAAACCCCAAATCCCTGTTTCCCTAATTTAGGATAATTCCCATGGAATTCCCATCTCTCAATGGAATTCCCTTGGACTCAGAGATGAAACTTTGGGATAATCCCAGATCTAGGATGATCCCACCCTCCTTCCTTCCAAAACCGCCATTTTGTGAGGCCAAACTCGCTTTTTTATTTTGAGTGGAATTTTTTTTCCTACTCCAACCCTTTTCCCACGGAATTCCCGGAATTACCTTGGACCTGGAGATGAAAAGGAAGCATCCAGCCAGGAGCAGCCCCTGGAGCGTGGCCTGGAGGTCGCTGAATTTGACTCCCTGAAGGAACAGCACGCTCTGGCTGTAGGCCAGCACCAAAGCGTTCAGAGCCAGGATTTTAAACATCTGCAGCGTGGTCACCAGCGTGCAGCGACCCTGCTTGATTACGTGGCAGACTGAGGGGAAAAAACGGGAATTCCGGGAATTAGAGAGTAGGGAAAAGCCAGGGGGGAAAGGGGAGAAAAGGGTGAGGGGGAGTGAGGCCGCCATGAGGGGAAAAAGGGCGGGAAAAGGGTGAGGGGGAGTGAGGCTCTCGTGAGGGGAAAAAAGAGCGGGAAAAGGGTGAGGGGGAGTGAGGCTCTCGTGAGGGGGAAAAGGAGCGGGAAAAGAGGGAAAAAGGGTGGGAAAAAGAGTGGGAAAAGAGGGAAAAAGAGTGGGAAAAGGGTGAGAAAAGGGTGGGAAAAGGGTGAGAAAAGGGTGAGGGGGAGTGAGGCCGCCATGAGGGGAAAAAAGGCGGGAAAAGGGTGAGGGGGAGTGAGGCTCTCGTGAGGGGGAAGAAGAGCGGGAAAAGAGGGAAAAAGGGTGAGGGGGAGCCCTCATGAAGGGAAAAAGAGTGGGAAAAGAGGGAAAAAGGGTGGGGAAAAAAGGGAAGAAAAGAGGGAAAAAGGGCAGGAAAAGTGTGAGGGGGAGTGAGGCCGCCATGAGGTGGAAAAGAAGGTGGAAAAAGGGTGAGGGGGAGTGAGGCCCTCATGAGGGGAAAATAAGCGAGAAAAGAGGGGAAAAGGGTGGGAAAAGAAGGAAAAAGGGTGAGGTGAAGCCCTCATGAAGGGAAAAAGAGTGGGAAAAGAGGGAAGAAGAGCAGGAAAGAGGGAAAAAGGGTGGGAAAAGGGTGAGGGGGAGTGAGGCCTTTGTGAGGGGAAAAAGATTGAGAAGAGAGGGAAAAAGGGTGGGAAAAGAGGGAAATAGAGCAGGAAAAGAGGGAAAAAAGGTGGGAAAAGATAGAAGAAGAGCAGGAAAAGAGGGAAAAGGG